CAGGTGGGACTGATGAGCTAGAACCCAGGCAAAGCTGAGAAGTCAGATTCTTCATGATTGTCCTTGCTTCCACCTCAGCTGCTACCAGGAAACCTGCCCTTCTGCTTGGAAGGAGAACTTTTCCTATGGGATGAGGAAAGTAGCACCTTAGGCCTTCATCTGAGAGGTCTCAGTAGGACAGCAAGAGGCCCTTTCTCTCTCACTACCAGCTATTGCTTTGTGTAAATCCACCCTTGTCTGAAATCTGTCAAGTCTTGCAAAATCCAACAGAACACCTATAACACTTTGAAGAATAAAAGGACTCATGATATTAGAATTACCTAAATGGCAGAATTATAGGTGATACCAGGTCAATTTTTATGATTAAACATGCTAAATAGACAACATACAAGAGCAGATGGTCAGTATAAGCAGAGAAATGGAAATCCTGAGGGAAAAAAAAAAACAAAGAGAAATGCTAGAGATCAAAAAAACACTGGAACAGAAATGAAGAATGCTTAGGATGGGTTTATTAGTAGACTGGACATGGCTAAGGAAAGAATCTCTGAGATTGAGGATATCTCAATAGAAACCTCCAAAACTGAAAAGCAAAGAACAAAGACTTATTTAAAAAAACCAAAAAACAGAATATCCAGTGAACGTGGGACAACCACAAAAAGTGTGACATATGTATAAGGGGAATATCAGACAGAAAAGAAAGAAAGAAACAGAAGAAATATTTCATACAATGACTGAGAAGTTCCCTAAATTAATGTCAGACACTCAACCACAGATCCAGGAAATTCAGAGAGAGAATAATATACTGAAATTCAGATCTACATAAAAAAGAATAACATTAAAGAAGGAATATTTCTTAATTATTCTAGATTCTTAATCTAACAATTCAATCAAAATAATAATAGCACCAATGTTTTTGATTATGTACATTTATATATATGTATACTTATATATAAGCATACATGAAATGAATGACAATAATGATATAAGGGATAGGAGGGAAGAATTAGGATTATTTTGTTTTTATAAGATACACTAGTAAAGTTGTATAGTGTTATCTGAAAGTGGACTTGTACTATTTGTAAATGTATATTGCAAACTCTATGGCAACCACTAAAAGAAGTTTGTTTTTTTTAAAAAAAAAGTATAACTGTTATTCTAAGAAAAGAGAGAGAATGGAATCATATAAAATGTTCAGTTAAAACCACAAAAGGCAGAAAAACTGTGGAAGACAAAAATAAGAACAAGGGCAACAAAGAAAAAATAATAACAAATACAGTTGATATTAATCTAACTATATCAATAATCACTTTGAATGTCAGTAGTCCAAATGCACTGACTAAAAGACAGAGATTGTCAGAGTGAATCAAAAAAGAAAACCCAACTATATGTTGTCTGTAAGAAGCCCACTTTAAATATAAAGACACATATAGATTAAAAGTAAGTGGTTGGAGAATAACATACTAGACTAACACTAACCAAAAGAAAGCAGAAAAAGAGATATTAATTCCAGACAAAGCAGACTTCAAAGCAAAGAAAGTTATCAGGGATAAACAAGGGTATTGCATAATGATAAAGAAATCAGTCCTCTAAGAAGACATAAAAATCCTTCCCATGTATACACCTAACAACAGAGCATCAAACTACGTGAGGCAAAATCAATAGAACCACGGAAGAAACAGGTAAATCCACTATCGATCGTTGTTGGAGATTTCAACACCCCTTTCTCAGATATGGACAGATCTAGCAGTTAGTAAATGAGTATGGATGCAGTTGAGATCTAGCAGTTAGTAAATGAGTATGGATGCAGTTGAGATCTAGCAGTTAGTAAATGAGTATGGATGCAGTTGAACTCAACAACACCATCAATCAACTGGATGTAATGGACATTCATAAGCTACACTCAACAAAAGTAGAATATACATTCTTCTCAAGCTCACATGGAACATTCATGAAGATAAACCACCTTATGAGCCATAAAAAACACCTAAACAAATGTAGAAGAACAGAAATCATAAATGTCTGCTTTCAGACCATAGTGGAATTAAACTAGAAATCAATAACAGAAAGATAACTGTAAAATTTCAAAATACATGGAGATGTAAAGAACAAACTTCTAAATAACACATGGGTTAAAAAAGAAATTTTAAGAAAAAATAAATATAAACTAAATGAAAATGAAAACACAATTTATAATTTGTGGAATGCCACAAAGGGAGTGCTTACAGGGAAATTTATAGCAATTACATATTAGAAAACAAGGAAGAACTAAAATCAGTAATCTATTAATAAGTTTCCACCTTAGGAAACTAGAAAAAAGAGCAAATTAAATCCAAAATAAGCAGAAGAAAAAATAAAAATTAGCAGAAATCAATGAAATTGAAAACAGGAATTCAGTAGAAAAAATCAGTGAAACCAACAGCTGGTTCTTTGAAAAGTTGAATAGAATTGAGAAGCCACTTGCCAGCTAACTAAGAAAAATAGGACACAGATTACTAAAAGAAAGAGGAGACATGATTACAGATCCTATGGACATTAAAAGGATAATAAAGGAATTACCATAAATAACTCTGTGCTGACAAATGTGATAACCTAGATGAAATGGACTGAGTCCTTGAAAGACACAATCTGCCAAAACTCACACAGGAAGAAATAGACAATCTGAATAGGCCTGTATCTGTTACAGAAATTGAATCAATTATTAGCAATCTTGCAAAACAGAAAGCACCAACCCCAAATGGGTTCCCTGGTGAATTCTAACAAACATTTAAGGAAGAAACTATGCCAGTTCTCTACTATCTAATTCAGAGGATAGAGCAGAAGTAATACTTCCTAACTCATTACCTTTACATTAAACAAGACAAAAACGTTACAGGAAAACTACAGACCAATACCTCTGATGAACATAGATCTAAACATCCTCAACAAAATATTTAATAAATTAAATCTACAATGTATAAGAATTATACACCATGACTAAGTGGAATTTATCCCAGGGGTAAAAAGGAGAATAAATTCAACATTTGAAAATCAATTAAGATCCACCAATGCCACTTCTGGGTGTTTCCCAAAAAGATTTAATTAAAGGTTACCAGGAGGCTTGCAAGAGAGCAGGGGACTGAACTCCTATCAGGAGCTTTACAAGGAACCCATTCCTATAATAACTAGCAGACTATCAAGATAACAGCATTAATCCATTCTTGAGGGCAGAGCCCTCATGACCTAATCATCTCTTAAAGGTCCCACATCTCAACACTGTTGCATTGGGGATTATGTTTCCAACACATGAACCTTGAGGGACACATTAATCTCAATATGGGTACAGTATATGGAAATGAACCACTTTACAAAACATCTTGTCTAATGAACTATTGTTCTTGGTCAGTTGAGGAATTATATCTATGGAACCAATGACCAAAAATACATGTTTAACCCTGAAAAATAAAAATGTTAGTAACAGCATATTTATAATATCCCTAGATTGAAAACAACTCAAATGTCTATGAATAAAATAAATAAATCATGGTATATTCATACAATGGAAGATTATGCAGCAAAGATAATGAATAAACTATTGCAACATATATCAACATGGATGAATCTTACAAACATAATGTTGAGTGAGTGAAACAAGTAAAACCACAAAAGCATACTGTATGATTACATTTATATGAAGTTTATCAACAGGCAAAAATAAGCTGTAGTATTAAGAGATGGTATTAATGTAAAACAAAATAAGAACGTGATTATAGTAGTAAGAGATGGTAAATATTGATCCTAAAGAAAAGCTTACCTAAGATATGAGCAGATGGAATTGCGATTAGAAGATGCAGAAGCAGGGCTTCTGTCAATGTTTTGTTTCTTGACCCATCTAGCTGTTCATTTTATACTCATTTGTTATATTGTATGTTTCTGTTTTACATACTCTACATGTGTGTTATACTTAACAATTTAAAATGTGGTTTAAAAAGAAAAAAGTAAAACTATTGTCTCCATTCTCATTTCCTGTCTTTAACATTGTTGATCTATTCCATTTATATTACTCTATTTTTTTTTTCTTTTTTTTTTTTTTTTTTTTTAAGACAGAGTCTCGCTTTGTTGGCCAGGCTAGAGTGAGTGCCGTGGCGTCAGCCTAGCTCACAGCAACCTCAAACTCCTGGGCTCGAGCAATCCTCCTGCCTCAGCCTCCCGAGTAGCTGGGACTACAGGCATGCGCCACCATGCCCGGCTTATATTACTCTATTAATAGAGATTGAGCTTAACTATTTTGACTTTTCTGAACCACCATAAATTATTTTTATATGTTAATTTCAAAGATAATAATATGGTAAACAGTGGTAAGTTTAACTTTAAAATGGTTTTAGTGATTTTTTTTCTTACTACAGTATTATTAAAATATATTTCCTGATATTCTGATGAAATGAGGTGATATTTTTGTCCTTAAACATTTTCCCATGTAGGAATAGATTCCCAGCTTCCCTTGTACCTGGCCCATACTTTAACATTGAATCAGTTGTTAGAAATATGTTTGGTCCTGCTAAAGATTTTCTTTGGCTGGTAAGGTTAAGGAATAGAAGAGCTTTTCTATCTCCAAATATAATTAATAGAAGATGATGAACAGAAATGAAATCACTTATATGGTTCTACTTTCTACTGGTATCATTAGTCAATCAAGTTGGTATAACTACTAAAATAGTATATTAGTTCGTACTTTCATCAATCCTTCAAAGGAATTGTGAATTGCTATCACAATCTATGAGTTATTTGGGAATCTGATTCCTTCTTACCCTGAAAATTAACTCTAACACCTCAAGGGGCATCCTTATATCCTACCCAGACTGGTTGTGGACTGAGAGGGCAGTGGGCGATGATTCTTTACAGTCTGAACAGATCTCTCATCATTGTAAAACCCAGTGATTTGTCAGTACTGTATAAAAGAAACTATAAAGTAATGGGCTACACCTTAAGAAAACCTCTCATCAAATTATGTTTCTTTATTATAGGTGATTCGCTCTTTTCTGCTCTTTCCAACAATTGAACGAATGTCTGAGTCACCCAAAGGCAGAATTGCCACTCCATTGTTGTGCTGGTTTCGGTATGTTCTCTATGCTGCTGGCTACTTATTATTTAAACCGTGTCCTCAGAAAATCAAGTCTTTGGTGATCAGAATGGTCCTCCAAAGATGGAACATGGAGAGTAAATTTTCACTGATGAATGTACTAGAACCATTCTGCCTTGGTAAGCACATTTTAATATGTATACGTTTATTCTTATATCAGAAAGTGTTTACAGAATAATCTCAAGTGAACGAATATCAAGCAAGCAATTATTTTTTGGGTTTATTTCCTCTCAAAAGTTTAAAACTAGAAATAAATACAATTGCAAATAGACTGTGAGGTGTTCTGTGTAACAAATAGAAAAGGCTCATTAAGCTTTAATCTTAGCTTGTTTCTGATTCTCCACTCTAGCAGTAGCGTGGTGAGAAATAATTCTCCTGTACATAGTACATAGTATACATGGAGTCCTTACAGGAATCCAGAATATGCCCTGTTGGCTCAGTAGGAGTACTTCGTAAAAAAAAAAAAAAAAAAAAGTACAAGAAAACAAGGCCTAGTATTCTTGTACAGTTAAGAGACTATGTTTTTATTTTCCTTCTTTAAATGTTTTTGGAAAGGTTAAATTATAAGTAATATTAATAAATAATCATCATGGTAATATATTTTAATAGTAGATGCTTTGCTGATTGTATTTTCGGAATGTTCCAGGGAATGTTTTTGCTACTTTACTTTTTAGCTTCTAAAATTGTTTTAAAATGTAATCTCTTGTTTTAGATAATACTAATTTATACTGTATTCATAAATGATTTTCATTATAAAATAATCATAGTTTCTTAATCTATGAAATGGGGATAATAGTACCCCATATTTTAATGGGTTATTCTTGGGTTACATGTGATACTATACACAAAGTTTCTATCTAGCATTATAACAGGCTTCCAATAAATGATTTGACAGCAATAGTTGCAGCAACAGCTAATGCACTGTGGTACTCAGAAGAACTAATGAGGTTTAAGTATTGTTATGTCCCCGTTTTATAAATGAAGAAACTGAGGTACAAAGAAGCTACATGATTTGCCCAAACTCACACAAGTAGTGGATAGTGTTCAAATGCAGGCAGTCTACCACTATGATAAGCTTTCTTTTACCATAGCTGCTGCTGTTGTCTTTTTGCCCTCATTAATGGTAAAGACAGGACTCCTGAATAAAGTTTTCCATGCTCACCCTTATTATGATTTCTGTCTTGAGCCATTGTAATATCTGGCCTTTAATATCTTTGGGTTTTGGTTGTTTTTATATTCGTGAGTTATTATTATGATGTTCTGTGCGTAACGCTGTTTTAAGTACTTCTTGTAGGGCTGGTCTTGTCTTGGTGAATTCTCTGAGCCTTTGCTTGTCTGAGAATGTTTTTATTTCTCCTTCATATACGAAGCTTAGTTTTGCAGGGAATAATATTCTAGGCTGGGCATTGTTTTGTTTCAAAAGAGTGAGAATGGGGCCCCAGTCTCTCCTTGCTTGTAAAGTCTCATTAGAGAAGTCTGATGTATTCTAATTGGCTTTCCCTTGTATGTTACTTGCTTCTTTTGTCTTACAGCTCTTAGAAGGGCCTCTTTAGTTGATACTTTGGTCAGTCTGATGACTGCATGTCGTGACGTCTTCCTGTTTGCATTGAATCTCCCAGGGGTCCTCTGAGCTTCTTGAACTTGTATATCAAGATTTTGAGCAAGGCCTGGGAAATTTTCCTCTATTATATCTTCAAACAGCTTGTCCAACCCTTGAGTGTTGTCTTCTTCTCCTTCTGGTAACCCTATGACCCTCACATTAGGTTTCTTCACATAATCCCACAGCTCTTGTAGGCTTTGCTCTTTTCTCTTGTTTCTCTGCTCTATCTCTGTGACGGTTTTATTTAATTGGAGGATGTTATCTTCAGTCTCTGAGATTCTTTCTTCTGTTTGATCTACCCTGTTCTTGAGGCTTTCTGCTGCATTTTGTAGATTGATTCTTCATTTCCAGGAATTTGGTTAAACTTTTCTTCATTGTGTCTATTTCTTTAGTGAACTTTTGTTCTAGGTCCTGGAGGCTTTTTGTGGTTTCTTTGTGTTGGTTATTGGGTTGTTGTTGCAGCTGGGTGAGTGTTCTTATGATCCACATACGAAATTCCTCTTCTGTCATATTGGTTGCCTGATTTTGGTTGGTGTCCGTTTCTAGGGGGCTGGTGCTCCTCTTTGGGGGGGTGTTTTCCGTTTGGTTCTTCATATTTCCTGAGTTCTTTCGCTGATTTCTTCCCATGTCGATCAGTTGTTGTTTCTTTCCTTTAGGTTATTGTTTGGGTATTCACACACCTTGTTTAGTTTCTGAGGCGTTAGGTGGTGTCTGTGGGTGAGATTGGACCACTCCCTGTATATTGAGTCAGTGGGTGCCGTGGAAAGGCTGTGCAAGATGCCGTCCCTGTCAGTAGGTGGCGTTTGCTTGGAGGAACAGGCTATGCTGTTGATTTTGTGTCCTGTTATCAGCTCTTGTTCTGGGCGGAGCTGGGTTGGGTAAGCCTGCCCTCAGGCAGTTAGCAGGGGTCAAAGTTCTGTTCTCTGCTTCCAGGAAAAGCTGTCAGGGTGGGGCTGGAATGGTCCCGCTCACATGCTCACCCTTATTAAGATTGTCATAAGATCACATACATAATGAATCTAGAAACAAGTCACAGCCCTGTCTGTTCAGTCGTATACGCTGCAGCTTGTATGGGAGGTGTTTTGCCAAATATGTAGCTGCGAGGAGTTAGCTATTCTCCCAGCAAAACTGAGTCCCTTGGCAGGGTCGTCGCAAGGGATATGGAAATAATGGAAAATAGACAATAGAGAAATAATAAAGAGACATAGAGATGAAAGTATAGTTTTAAAGATGGGGGAGTCAGGGGATACTCCAGCATTCCTGTGAGCTGTGAGGCCACAAGTGAAGTCCCACAGCAGTATTTATCAGTACAGCAATTAGTTGCCAGTGGTAACAGATTTACATAGTAATAGATAGTTCGTTTAGGTTTTATGTCTCCCCAAAAGCTTCTAGAGATCTTTTAATTAACTCTGTCTATGTGGGCAAATGGTTACAAAACTTTTCTAAGATAAACTTCTAAGTCCTAAGATAAAATTATCTCTTAGCAGAAAGGCTAAACAGAAATATAATGCCTCTTTATTTCTTTATCTAGTGTCTTGTTGATTGAGACAAGTAGTCAGGAATGAAGCAGGAACTGTCCCTTAGGCTAATTGTCTCTAGCTGCAGGTTACTGCTAGGCTGGCATTCTTCTATCAGTTCTCAACCTGTGACCCACATACCAAGCCTTGTCCTACAGAGGCGTCAGGCAGGCCTCCAGGTCTGAGAGACAGGTGTCACCATGCAAATGCTCCTGACCAGTGAGATGCACTCCTGAGGCAAGGCAGCTTTTGATCTGTGAACTAACACTTTCACATATTCCTTCAAGGCAAAGCCCTGCAAAACTCCTGAAATCTTTTATGTCTCTTTATAGGCCAATATGTAGCAAGAAGCAGTCATCAGAAATACAAGTTCAATGTATTTTTTGTATATGTGGATTTTTTTCCCTCCATGTTCTCCCCAGCTTTCATTCTTTATTATAGTTTTAGCATAGTGGAAATAAAAAAAAAAAAAGTGAGATAGGGAGAGGGGAAAGCAAGTCTAAGGACAGTCTTAGAAATTGCCAGAGGTTGAAGTTGGAAATGTCCCTTAAAGACCATCTGGCCCAACTTGTCATCCTTACCTCATAATACAGAAAGGAAAAGATGACCTAGTAAGTGAAAATGGCACTGATGGAAGTTTGAAACCCTCAAGCCTCATTTTGGTTTTGCCCTAGACTACTCCTGTGGCATCGATTAAGTCACCTCTTTTCTCTTTGTTCTCAGTAGTTGATCAGATCAAGAGTTACACTAGATGACATCTAAGGTGAATCCACCTTTGGAAATTACTTGAGCCAAATGGAAGTCAACATTTGGAATTTTGGCCG